AGTTCGCATGAGCTAACGCTTGCGCGTCCGATGCGCGTGGCTGCTTACTAGGCCACGTTGATTGGGAAGATCGATTGTTTAGTCCAACCTGACAGTATTTTGAAATCTACAAACGTGAACATGTCATTATCGTCCTTAAGCCACCTCCAGTCTTTTCAGTAATCTGAAAAGGCAACCATAGGAGATTTGGCGAGCGCAGATGATCACTTGACATGCAAGATAAGTAAGGGGTGGGTTGAGTACGCCGCCCTGTGGCACACCACAATGCACTGTTGTGCAGAAGGAGAGTTTTGACTTGACTTCGACTTCTTTTCTCATGCCTATAGGCAGTTCGCCAATCCAGTTGGTAAACTGCACTTCATTCTGAGATTTTCCAATTTCGTGAGGAGTCTTGAATGGGGTACTTAGTCGAGAGCTGTGCTGAAGTGTATGAAAATAACGTCGATGGGTTTCTCGCCTCTTGGCCTGACCCAGCTTTCTGTTACTGTAAGGTTTATCAGGTATGAAAAGTTTCCACAGAAGCCACTCTGTGGGCTGGACAAATTGTCGTCTCTCAGGTATGCCATGATAGGTTTCTTGATAATTCTCCCCAGTATCTTGATTGAGGTGCTGGTGAGACTAGTAGACGTGTAGTCTGATCCTCTTTCCAGTCGGAGGTAACATTCCGTTTAAGAGAAATGGCTTGAAGTTCTTAGTCAATGCGCCAGCCATATGAGCTGTCAGTTCCCTGAGGAGCCTCGGGTGAAGAACGTCGGGTTTCGTTGATTTCCCTGCATCTAGTTTGTCTAGGGATTGGAATATGATGTTCGGGTCGATATAGATGAAGTCTATTCTGTATTCCTCTGTGGCTAGATTTGCTGCAATGGAGGGGGTGTAGCGACTCCTGTACGAAGACTTTGCTTCTGCTTCTTCCTGATCCTCCTCAATTGTGTCGTCATCAACAGTCAGGTTTGTGACGCAGTCGGATGCCTCATTCCTGAGGCGCATAGCGAAAATGTTTTCGGTTTCTCTTGCCCAATTTTTTGGGTACTATCCGACTCACTTTCTTAATGCAAAGGTCACTGGAACAGCTTTTCCTGTGACTGACATTTCACACCCTTTTGGCATACTTCTGTTTTTTCCTAATCGGGTCCTACCATACATTTTTGCACATAGAAGATCTGCGCTGTTCTTGGTTCACCCCTCCGGGACAATATTTTTTTCTCTTTGTAGGAGACCAAACTGGCTGACTGGTTTCAAAAAAGGAACTTTGTAGCATTTTGAGTCGCTACACTCCTTCCATGTATCAAACAAAGCAAGAAGAAGGGGGTAAAGAGGGATTCAAAAGAGATAATAAACAGTAATGTGAAGCAAAAGGAATGGTAATATGGAAGGATAGTAGGATTTTATTGGATATTATAAATCATAGACAGTGAGTTTATCTGCGCCACTGAGAACGATTTTGAATCATATTACTTAATTGTCTCCAGCTATTGGTCTTTACAATCCCGAGGACCCTAACCAGGAGCTATACACCTCCCAACGTGACTAGCTTAAAATAACTGTTGTGGACTTCATTGCCTGATACTGTGTTTCGGTTTGACCACTGCTAGCTTTTATCTAACCTTATCCCGTGTCGGCCAACATCACCCATCAAGGAAGGTGATGGCTAGGCTAGGAGTACGTAATACATGCCCTAACCATCTCAGTCGGTGTAACTTCACAACCTCGTTGATTGATTTCTCCTCAAAACCCAACACTCGATTCCTTACCTCAATATTGCTCACCTAACTATACCACTTAACACGGGAGATAGAACGCAGACACCTATAACCAAAGACAGCCAGCTTTTTCATGTCTTCCACATATAATGGCTCTGTCTCAGAGCCATAAAGGAGGACAAAAAGAACTGCTGAGCAGTACACACTCCGTTTGATCGATAGCCGGATACCTCGTCTACGCCGGAAATGGCGTAGGTTGGCATATGCTGAATGAGTCTTCTGTATCCATGCTGAGATTTCATCAGCGATCAACCTGTTTGCGTTGGCTGATGCAACTCCCCAAAGAAGTGAAGTGGTCAACACGCCCTACCACTTCACTCCCTAGGAGTCAATGCAGTTCAGTCCTGTAGCACCATCTTACATTTGACAGCAGGAGCGAATCGCATGCCAAACTTTGAAAGATTAGAGCTCAAGGTGTTCAGAAGACCGCGTTTTGTCACCGTCCATGCCCAGGAGGACTATATCATCTGCATATTCTAAGTCAATGAGATTATCCTATTGTAACAGACAATTCAATCCCTGAGTCGTTGACGTCAGTTAGGGTTAATTCCATTAGTACATCTATGATGAAACTAAATAGAAATGGGGACAGTGGGCACTCCTGACGGACACCACTAATTGTCACCACTTCAAATGACAACTCGCCGTAAGCTCTTACCTTGTTAACTGCATGAGTTCGAGTAGAGTGCCTTGATCGGCGCAATCTATTTTCTAAACATTCCTTTCACAGTCAAATATCGCCACAGTACCTCTCGGTCGACAGAATCGGATGCCGCCTTCAGATCAAGGCATGTGAAGATTTTTGGACGCTGATAAGTCTGCCTATGTCCCAGAATCTTTCAAAGGATAAAGATATGATCGGCACACTCTCTTCTTGGTCTAAAGCCTGCCTGGTTCTCTCGTGTCCGTTCTTCCCGAGTACCGCTTAGTCTACGCATGATTATTGAGCCTAGAACTTTCGATAACATATTAGTCAAGCTAATCCCCTTTGATTATCACGGGGAGGGGACTTTCTCCGTTCTTATATATCGGGATATTCAATGACTTATACCAACCCGATGGGACTTTCTCTGATTCTCAGACGCTACCTAGTACCTTGGTTAACGCAGACAATAAACAGTTTCCGCCATCTCCAAATACCTCTGGAGTTATTCCCTCAGGTCCTCCCCCTTTGTCTCGTTTTAGATCAATGACAGCTTCTGTAACCTCAGTTAGGGACGGGAGACCTTTGTCTTTATCCCATTTGGGGAGGTGTTGCATGCTGGGTAAGTTGGGCGTGGCTGTAGGCCAAGTGAATTGCTCCTCAAAGTGTTTTTTCCAACATTCCAGTCGTCTATCCCGAGAGCTAATTATGGCGTCTCAGAGATTGTTTCACTTATCACTTGCCTTTTACTATCTGTTTACCCAATAAGCCTAAATAGTCGTCTGGTGTTACCTATTGCCTATGCCTTTTCCATCTCCGCTTTTGTCGCCCACCACTGTTCACGGTCGTTATGAAGGCTTCTTGTTAGTTTGCATCTGAGTAGCTTTGCCTCCTCATCATAATCGGAGGTCGCCGGAATCAGTCTTCTTGCGTTAATCAGTTCAGATGAGGCAGTAGAAATCCGATGCCTCTAAATTTTGGTTTTATGTTATGAACAGCCTTTACAGTTGTTTCTACAACTAACTGTATGTTGTGGCTGTGGTTTTAGTTGGTCACATGAAGGATGAGTTTAACTCTTTTTTTGATTACAGCTTGATTCTATACCGTATTTTTTGTAGTAATTTTGAGGAAATTTATAGAAATATGAACACGTTTCCGAAATCGTGGTGTTTTCTCCTAATAGGCAAAAGCTTTTTCTCAACAGATATGGCGAAGTAAATGGGTTGGAGATATTTTGAGATTACCAAACGACATCGTATTGTAGATCCTCGAGTAAGGTCTGAACCGGAAAGGATTGACTCTTGCCGTTGGAGAAACGTGAATGTTGTGTGAGAGAATTATAACTTTCAGTTAGTCTCGTAGTCAGCTAAGAGGATAGAATAAATTTTAGATGTCCTGCTGAGACCCCATTTTTCCCTCGAAAAGCAATAAATGGGCAATGATGTCCTAAGTTCTGTCTGTCTGGATTCAACATAGAACTTGGCACCGAAGTGCAGCAGTTCGAGTTGCCACCTTCCAAATAGCACACAGAGGTAGACAAGAAGATGAGTGAAGAGAATCAATACAGTCTGACAAGTATAAGAGTGAAACAGAATGGGTAATGGTAGAAGGGAATATGAAAGATTAAAGAGACTGAATACATCTGCGCCATTCACAACGATTTTGAGCCATGTCACCTATTGTCTCCAGCCATTGATTCCTAGAGTCCCGAGGGCCCCAACCCGGGAGTCTGCATCTCCCTACCTGACCGACTCAGTTTAACTGTCAAGGATTTCATGGATTGATGCCATGTTTTTGTTTGGCCACCACTGGCTCTTTTCCAACCTGCACCTATATCAGCTAGTTAGTAATGCCCGTCGGTGGAGGCGGTGGTTAGGCATGCGCAGCACGTGACCTAGCCATCTCAATCTATGTAACTTTATAGCCTCGTCGATTGATTTTCCCTGTTTGCCCAACACTACGCCTAACGTCAACATTACTTACCTTATTAAACCACCTAACGTGAGACAGAGATCGCAGACATCTATGATCGAAAGCAGTCAACCTTTTCATGTCTTCAACTCGTATTGGCCATGTTTCAGAGCCATAGACAAGGACGGAGCGAACTGATGAGCAGTACACACGTCCCTTGGTTGATAACCGGATGTCACGCCTACGCCAGAGATGGTGTAAGTCAGCGAAAGCAGCTCGAGCTTTTCGGATCCGTGCTGAGATTTCATCGCCAATCAGTCGGTTGGTGCTAATACAACTTCCCAAATAGGTGAAGTGGTCAACATGTTCTATCACTTCACTCCCTATCCTAAGTTACATACATCAGAAGAAAAACAAAATAGGATGTACTCAAATTTGCCACAATTATTGTTTTTCTGGCTTTGTGGACGAGGATTGAGACAAGGTATGTGAAGTAACAAGCTGCTCGTGATATTAAATCTTTATTTGTTTGAGTTTCTAACAATAGTTTGATATACTGGATATTTTACTTTTGAGCAAATTATTTTCCTTTTAAATATCATTTCTTCCTATATCTGACAGGCATAGTGTTGTCATCCTTTTTCCCTATTGGTTTCCAAACACGCCTTCTCTGCATTTATCACTGAATGACTATCAAGAGAACACAAGTATTATGGTAAGTCAACACGTTAATCTGATGCGGTTTAGCTTGTTTAATGTCTGTCGACGGAGCTTCGCCTGTGTTCTTAATAGACTTGATAAAGTTTCTATTTTTGCTTCATGGGATGCATGTGAAGATAAATTTAAAAACCAGTTAGATCTTCGAAGTATTCCGACAGTTTCCACCATACTCAGTAAAACAGCATCCCTGCAGAGTACAGCTGCACTAAGAAAATGGCAGGAAAAGAAAAAAAATGAACTCGGTGAAGATGGATTCCAGGAGTACATGCGAGGTAAATTCTAAAGCACAAACTTTTTGTTAGATAGGACTTCAGCTTATAGGAAAAAGTGTTCATTCCAACATCGAAGCTCGACTTCTTAAGGGTGAATTTCCTGCTAATCTGCCAGAAGACATCTCCAAGTATTGCGAGAGTTTGAGCTACATTTTGGATGACTTAAGGTCTACTGCTGTAGAAACTAATTGTCTTCATCCCCAGCTTTTGTATCGCGGAAGGTTTGATAGCATAGTTTTTCTGAAGTAAGCCCCGTTTCCCTGCACTTCTCATATGCTTCTAATTTTGTGGTGTCATGAAATGTTTATATTACATAGAATTTTCCAGGATTATATTTTTAAACGAAGTGATTCTGGAGATTTCGTAACGTATTAAAGGTTTTATTTTTTCCTAGATTTCCAGTTTTTGATTTTGAATGGTTCTTAATATTTTCAGATGTTTTTTGTTTTCTTAAGATTTCGTCTGCATTGTAAATAAGTGTTATCGCTATCAGTATTCTACAGTGCCAAAGATACATATATTTCCGCATAGTTTCATGTTGTGAATGAGTAGACTACGGATTTATTAAGTGTAAGGTAATAGTTCCTAATATTCAGGTAGGGAGTTAGTGATTTCATTTGCTAGACAACTCTCATCAGCACTAATGAATGGGCTCAGACAAAATCGTAAGGGGCGCGCATAGTCTTCTTTGGTATATACCCAGCCTCAGGATGGTGGGGGGTGGGTGCTTTGCGCTGCGGGTTGGCCACCCCTCCGTACACCTCTTGAAATGCTCCCATATGACCGGACGTCTTACATAGCCTCCTCTGAGGAAGTCCTACTCACTGCCTTCACGTGGCGGTGTTTTTTCACCGAAATGAAAGGGCAAAAGCGGATACCCGGCGCTCTTCACCGGGTTGACTGTCCATTGGATGACAGTCTAGGGGAGATGGCTAAACCCTGATTCCAAATCTCAAACAACTGGCGTATGAAGCTCACCGGAGCTCACCGGCATACGTATGGACAAAGGGTTTATTGGATGCCCTGGATGTCTGGCCCCATTCGAAAAGGCGTATGAACCGGACTCCGGTCACCGGCTGCCAATGGATAGTGGACTCCCTACTCCACTCCTACTGCCTTGTAGGTCACACTTGGTTGTGTAAAGGCTAGAGCTGCACTCTCAAACAAAAGGCCGAGCGATGCTGGGGACATCACTCGTACCTAATTCCCATGAAACTTCATGAACTCACTACAACATCAACCAAATTCCAGTACTGGTCCAACAACGTCGCCTTCGGTGGTTTGGCCATGTTCTGCGCCGACCAGATGGCGATCTGGTCAAATCAGTTCTAAATCCCTCGCCATTTCCATCTTGGCGATGTCGCATGGGTGGACAGCTGATATGGCTGATATGGAGTGCCTGGGGCTACAAACCGTCTACGAACTCCGTCTGTGGAACAAGAATTGGATAAGCCTGTCGCAAAACCTTGCATCAGATCGCCGCACCTGGGCAGCGATGATTCGAGATGTTCATGAAGCCGGCTCATCCTCCCGTAGGAGATAGCCGAAGTAAAGTAAAGCAAGTACTGGAATCATCTAAGACACCACTTACATATTTGGCTATCCACTAAAGGTTTGTATCGCAAAGGAATTCTCTGTTCTACCTTTCAACTGAAACACTGTTTCTGAAAGAAGAATTAAAACTCTGCAGTTTTTCGACCATAGATGCCTTGATTCAAGTTTTTACATCAGGGAGAGCAGTGTCGTAAGAAATGCTGAGACTAAAGTTACTCCTATGTGAATGAGGTACATCACTGAGGGAGTTTACGAATCCTATTTTTCTAGGTATCTTTCATAATACGGAATCCTTGCCTAAACTTATTAATCTTGACCCCCGAGTTACAATTTTATCATTGATCACATTTTCGAAACATTCTGATGACGTAAACAATGTACTATGTACTTTTTATTCTAGTCTGCAAATCATCAGCTGAGACAGTTGGAACATACGTTACACATCATAATCTAACGTTTTTATCGGTGGGTAATGTTGCAAGAAGTGAGAGTTAGAAGTTGCCAGAGTGAGAAAAATTGCACGTCTCTTTCAAGTTATTAATCTAAACCAAGTAGGACGGTGTGAATTGCGTGGTTGGGTTTGTAAAAGTGCTAAGAATTGGTGGTGGGAAACTGTTAGTTAAATAGCTCAAAATCTTTCACATTAGTGCAGATGTGTTCACTACTACTCTCCATTATATATTATATTATTATGTCTCTGTCGTCATTTTCGTATGCAGTATCGTGAAACGAAACTTTTGTAGAATGTTCATTGCTGATTCTTCTTGGTTAAAAACCGAACTGATGTCAATATTCCTATTTATTTTGTAACAAAATTTAATTTACTATCGGCACCAACAGTATATAAAAAATAGGGAGAGGATGAATAAATGATTTCATCCCGAAACGAAGCAAGTATATTTGACAAGATCAGATAGCCTGTTCGCCATTGATTGTGATTCTTGGCGATATCTGATAGCGTTTCAAGCCACCGACTCTAAATACATTTTGGTGATGTACCAACCGATTCTGATCTAACACTAATATCCTTCATCCCAAGAAGCGACGTCATAGGCTGAATATGTCTCCGCTCTTCCCATCCATTCTCATGCGTTGCTAACAGGGATGCTCATTATCCCCGTTTCTATTCAGTTTCATCATAGATGTACTAATGCACTGAACCCTAACACTTCAGAGACTCAGGGATTGACTTGCTACCAGGCAATAATCTCGTTGACTTAGAATGTGCAGACGATATAGTCCTTCTAGGCGAGGACGCTGACAAAATGCAGAGTCTTCTAAACACCTTGAGCTGCAATCTACGAATGCTTGGCATGCGATTCGCTCCCCCCAAATGCAAGATGATGTTACAGGACTGGACTACATTAACTCCTGGCTTAAAAATAGGCAGTGAAGTGGCAGAGGACGTTGCCTACTTCACTTATTTGGGAATTTGCATCAGCTAACGCAAGCGGGCTGATCTCTGACGAAATCTCAGTACGGATACAGAAGGCTCGTTTAGCATATACCAGTTTACGCCGTCTCTGGCGTAAACGTGATATCCGGCTGTCAACCAAAAGGCGTGTGTACTGCTCATCATTCCGCTCCGTCCTCCTTTATGGCTGCGAGACCTGGCCATTGAGAATGGAAGACATGAAAAGACTAGCTGTCTTTGATCATAGGTGCCTGCGTTCCATCTCCCGTGTGAAGTGGTATACTAGGGTAAGCAGCACTGAGGTTAGGCGTCGAGTACCAGGTAAGGAGGGGAAATCAATCGACGAGGCTGTGAAGCTACATCGACTGAGATGGTTAGGACATGTGTTATGTATGCCTAGCCACCAATCGCCTTCCTAGACAACGGGCAATGTTGGCTGACATAGGGTCAGGTTAGAAAAGACTTAGCTAGTGGTGGTCAAACGAAAACATGGCCTCAGTCAATAAAATCCACAAGTGTTAGTTTAAGCCAGTCACGTAGGAAAGTGTAGACTACTTTCTGGTTGGGGTCCTCAGGACGGTGAAAGCCAATGGTTAGAAACAATTGGTGATATGGCTCACAATCGTTCTCAGTGGCGCAGATGCATCCACTCCCTGTGACTTGTGATTTCTAATGAAACTATATTGTTCTTCGTTATTACTATTCCTTTTGTCTCATATCCCTGTCTACCGTCTCTGTTTTGTATTTCTTTTACTTTCTTCTCTTGCTTAGTGTGTGTGGCGACTTGAACTGTTGCACATCTGTGCAAAGCTCTATGTCGAAAACAGACAGAAGCTAACAAAGACCGGTGCGGAAGCCTCTGGGATGACATTCGTAGCACGTCGACGTTGACGTGATGGCAGATGCAATTTACGTAGGTGGTCTTCGTTTCTGCAAACTAAATCAGTGATGTATTATTAACACATTCTGCTTTTAACCAGTGGATTCCGATAACCATCAAAATTTGTTTTACTGTTATCAACTCTCACAATAGGCGTGGATGTTTGCTGAATGTATAAGTTTTTATATGGTCTATGGTTGCATTTATTTGTAATTTTTTTTATAATGCTGACTTATTAACGGAAAATTCGATTCAGAAAATGGTTTCTAGGGTAAAAGTCAATTAAATTCTTGGGGCATATGTAACTATGTCTGGGTGATATTTTTGGTTTGAAATTTAGAAACATAGATGAACCCATTTTAACTGAGTGGAAGACAGTGCATGAATGCAAACGAATAACGACTATTGATCAGACTTATGACAGTCCACTGCAAGTTGCTGCGTATATTGGAGCTTACAATTTTACACGTTACCCTTCATCTCCACTGGTAAGTTTCCATTTTGTAAAATACAACAGGCTTAGTATACCCAGGAGTAATGTAATTACAGAATGTCTATTCACTTGTTTAGATTCGTTGACGCATCTGATCTATGTGGCATACATCTTCAAGTACTAATCTATAAAATACGTTTGTTTTTGTTTTTAAAGGCTTATGGTACGACTAGGATGCTAAGCTATAGTGATCGCAGAGAAATTTGAGACCTGAGTTAAATAAATGAAAGTTAAGAGCCTAAACTAAGTCTCTGCATTGTAGCTGTGTGATATTATACTCTTCACTCTCAAATTTTAGTATCAGCCAAGTATATTCCCTGTAATGACAGTCTGTATGCAGGTAATGCGAAAATCAGTTTACTGCTCATAATTTGAGAGTATGATATTACAGAGCTAAAAATCAGTAACTTTGTTTTGCGTAGTAGATATTATATCGTTAAAGTATCACTTATTGGACTTTATAATATTATGTATTCTGTAGCGCTGATTGCACTGCGTTCCGTAGTCACTGGTCACTGGCATTTTTGTGTGATGTAACATATTATTTCACAGTTTATCTTTCCATTCAATTTAAAACTGGTTCAATTTTTGTCTATAGCTTGAAAATCCGTTTATTGTAAATTGTTTCTCACCACCGCTTGGTGTTCGCATCACTTCGAAGATCACACATGAGTATATATATATATTCCATTGCGTTCCGATTGGGATATAGGAAGTTTGATGTTTTCACGCAGTGAGGTTGTTAGCCTGACGCCCAACCTTCCCTCCTTTATGGGTTTACCACCGGCTATGCGGGGTTAAGTAATACGTCAGTTAGCAGTTGAACCTGAACTACGTGTTTGGATGAAAGATATTCGGCACCTGAACAGCGGAAGCATATATATATATATATATATATATATATATATATATATATATATATATATGGTCTATCAGTGTGTTACAGCTCTACCTGCTATGGTTCGGTAGCTAAATGTCATCAGGATCCATTTAACATATATGGGTCATCACATAGCGTATAAACCCATACAGGAGTTTGTCATGTAATCATTTGATTCACGTTCTACTCACTGTAATAAATAAAGGAATGTGTTGCACAGTGTAGTCAAATAATAAGCCCTTAACAGCGTGATCTACAGGTTTGTAAGTATACAGTCTGACCAAATTCCCGAAAACACTATATATCCTATGTATTTTGTAGGTAATAGTGACTAGAAGAGCTGCGTAAGGCCTTTGCAGCTAATACTGTTAAGGTAATTATATTTCCCGGCCAACCGAATTGCTTATTTCGAAAATAATAATTCTTAGAGGGCTTCTAAAAAAGGAAAAAGGAAACACGTGATTTACTGAAGATACTCTGGTGGTTTAATTTGAAGTTGCAGCTATATAATACAGCTATATAATTATACAATTTGTTTAATCGGCGTATCTGATATTTCCACATTTAGAATGCTTAATAAGTAATAGAATCGATGCAAAGCTGTGTGTGTCAATCAAAATATAATGGAGATTTATAGTTACAACCCCGATTTACTGTTAACATTACTTGTAGGTTATAATTCGCCTAATTTTTGTTAACCGAGGTACTATTCAACCACAATTTTTATGATTCTAACATAAGAAAAGTAAACTTGGATGTGTTTTAGTTAGAAGAGTATCAGATTATCAATAACTGAAATCGTTGGCCACCTGCACTTTTTTATTATTTATAAGTGTTTAAATGCTAGTAGTAACTATAGTTGCTTAGTTGTCTTATTACAATTTCAGAGTAAGACATTTTTAATTGTTGTCAATTTAAAAAAGGTCAAAAAAGGTATGCTGATTTATTCATATGGCGATGGTTATCCAGCATCACGAATTGTTTTGAATGAGACTGACCTGTTACACTATTGGGATTTGTGGTGCGAACGTGTAAAAGCTTATCGGCATCAGGTATGTAGTGTTACATTTTCAAATGTTATCAAGTGATTTTCCTGTTTTCGACAGTCTGTGTGTACGACAGAGACATGTGGTGAGAGGAGAGTGGGTCCTGTTCGTTCGTAATGTTTTCGTAAATCTGATTGAATGTGGTAATATGAAAATTTTCCAGAATTCTTGAATTTGTTTAGGATTTAGCGACAAATTTCATCTCTTATGTTAGTATGTGTATTTGGCACTATAGTTTCGATTTTGCGGAATTCGCGACTGTTTTTTACAGTTTCTGTTGTTTCAGTGAAACTTTTTGTTAAACATAGCATTAACGTCGGTAGTCAGTTTTAAATCTCATAAACCGTTTAAACTAAAAGTAAAAACACCAAATGGAAGACAAGTCGATAAAGGTGTAATTCTGTGTTGGTTTGTCTCAATGGCTAGGTCTCGCAGCCATAAAGGAGGACGGAGCGGAATGATGAGCAATACACACGCCTTTTGGTTGACAGCCGGATATCACGTTTACGCCAGAGACGGCGTAAACTGGTATATGCTAAACGAGCCTTCTGTATCCGTGCTGAGATTTCGTCAGAGATCAGCCCGCTTGCGTTAGCTGATGCAACTTCCCAAATAGGTGAAGTGGGCAACGTCCTCTACCACTTCACTCCCTGTTTCTAAGCTACGAGTCAACGTAGTCTCCTAGGTCGCAGTTCCCGTTACAACAAAACTCTTTTCCGACTCTCTCTGTATCAACTTTGGCGTTGGAAAATTTTTCGAATTTGGTAGTGTCCTGGAGAATGCTGTACATCTTATCGATGTACTTAGCTGTATCTAGTATTACGATCCCAGCTCTCTACTCCAGTCTAGTTAGGAGTAAAGTATCCTCAGAACAGCCCATATTGAAGCATGAAAAGGGAATCCGATGAAACGAGAGCATTCTTATAACTAAGCACTAGTGTTTAACTTCCAATCTTCTTTACCTTTTACAAACTAACATTTGAAGCTCCCCTTTCTGACTTTCCAATTCATAAGTGAGTTGAATTGTCTCTATCTTCGAGTTTGTGTATTCGAAACACAGGACATAGACGTCCTGTGTTCTAAGATCTGTGAGTGTTACCTACATATCTCTACCATACTTTTGGGTGGGGCAGCACACTCAGCAATAAAATTCACATTGGAACGTGAATCGAACATGGCATTTACATTCCTCAATTTACTACTCACCAAAAGACACGACTGTACGATCCAAAGATTGATATACCGTAAACCAACATAGACTGGACAGTTTATCAACTTCTAGAGCTTCGCCCCGCTGATGCGGAAACGAAACCTGGTACGTACATTAAGTTCAAGAATTAGAAAAATCTGTTCGGAAGATATGATAGAGGAAGAATTAAGTTTATCACCTGAAACCCTACTAGAGAACGGATATCCACCAAGATTCATAGACAAAAACATGAAAGAGAAGCCTCTGTCGCCAAACATCACAACTATTCCTAAGAAAACTCTCTTCATGAACCTGGGATTCAAAGGTGACATCTCAGCAGAAATTCTTAGAAAACGCCTCTTTAAATGTCTAGAGAAGACATCCCCAGTAGCCGTCTTACATATCACATTCTCCAGCAGACAGTTAATCCAGTCTAACGTTAAGGATAAGATAACGCTTCAATGTGTATTTATGAATTTACTTGCTCCTGTGGAGCAAAGCATATCGGCCGTACGCAACGTCAAGTCCACAGACGTATTCTAGAACACTGTCTAGTTTGGTTAGCCAGAGGAGAAAAGAAGAATAGCAGCAGCTCTATCCTCGAACACCTTGTCATCTCCGGACATCAAGCACCCCACATGAATGCTTCACAGTGCTAGACAGAGTCCCTCAATATCGTACGAAGGGACATCGCATACGCCATCTGTACATAGCTGAAGCATTACCTATTCGGAATTCGAAACCGGACATCTGCATTCAAAAACGCTACATACATTCACTTGCCCTATCGTGGCCAGAGTAAATTTCTTACTATAATCCTGTTTCTGTTTTACTATGTAAGTTTACTATTATTATTATTATTATCTTATTGTCATTATTTTTCCCATCACTCATATTTTGTTACCATTTTATTACTGTTTATTAACAACATTGCTTTTTCATACAGATTTTATGTAAAAACACTATCGCCTTTGCAGTAGTTCCTATCCGTTCTACTCGAGCCTATTGATTAGTCATTATCTCACGCTTATAACGTCATGACAACTTCTACCTCTTTTCTGACTTACAATTAGTCATCCCTTCTAGGTTACACCTTACATTAAGTAATACATTTCCCGAGGACAAAGTTTACCAGTATCTGATTTGTCTAAAGATTTCTTTGTTAAATATAATTACGATTGTACAGCTCATGAAAATGAATCATCGAAAAGAAAATTTTCTTCGCTGTTTACTCCCTTTTCTTATATCTAATTTATAAATTTTGTAATGTATGTTTATTTCATAAGAATTTTTGTTAGACTATATTTTGAGTGACATTTGACGGGATTAAATACCATAAATAAGTATTCAGAGAATTCATAACTAGGTGAATTTTTAAAATCAGCTATGGGTCTAATTGGGTATTTCGTACTATGAACTTTAATAGCAGTCTACATCCTACTGGCGTTATTAGTTCTCGGCTTTAAATTAAACCGTTTGTATTCACCTAGTATTGGTTTCATTCGGCGTATTCCGTCCCCTGTGGATGTCTTAACCTTATTCCTAACGGTGTTCATTGATTTCCTATTTTCCTCATATGGTCCTTGAATTCATGAGAGAATTCATCTGCTCCAAATAGTCTGATATGTCTAATACTACTGTTGTATTTGCTTTATCTTATTTAATCATTACCATATCGTTGTTGTTCATAAGAATTTTAGGGCTTCTATCTCTGTTTTCGTCAGGTTAGGCCTTATTCTTTTCTCCCGTTTATGTCAGTGCACGAAAACCTAGAAAAATCTAGATTGGTTGACCCTAGTAAGGTAAGGAATGTGGAGAAAGCTTCAGCTATAACACTGCTTGCAATTACAGACAACCATGGAAATAGGATGGAATAAGATGACAGTTTTAAAATTTAATGTAACCGTGGGGAGAACGAGACCGATAACGGAAGTTTCGTTTATCAAATCAACCGCAAACACATGTAGTAGGAATGATTCGTCACCTGTCCCAGATATCTGGAAAATCCTACTACCCCTGCAACTAATAGGAAAGAATAAAGAAAACTATAAACGAAAGTATCGAAGTTGTGTGGTAATAACTGATATCATTATGAACAATAAATTTTGTTCGTAACGTCATGCAATAAATAAATATTGTTTCACTGTGTGATATATCTAATAAACAAATTAATATGGGATTATATTCGGCGTTGACAGTTCACTTGTTTTTTGTCTGAATTTTGTTTGATTGCTACTTTCTCTATAGCTACTACTTTTTTATTACGATTAGTGTTATTGTTGACTGACTGACTGGTTTCAACGTAGGAGTTTGCACAGATGTACAGGGTGTCGAGTTGCCACACTCCTTCCATGTACCACGAAGCAAAAGAATAGAGTAGAGTGAGATTCAAAAAAGAGATGATAAAGAAAAATATGAAGCAAAAAGAATGGTAGTTTGAAAGAACAATAGAATTTTGTTGTATATTATAAATCTGTCTGTCTGTCTGTTTTCGACATAGAACTTTACACAAATGTGCGGACGTTCAAGTCGCCACACTCCGTGTAGCACGCGAAGCAAGAGAAGAAAGTACAAGAAAAGCATAATAGAAACAGTGAGCAGAGGTGTGAGACAAAGGAGTAATAAAGAAATACAAAACAGTTTCATTGAAGATCATAAGTCACAGGGAGTGGATGCATCTGCGCCACTGAGAACGGTTTTGAGCCATGTCACCAATTGTTTCCAACCATAGATTTTTGCCGTCCCGAGGACCCCAGCCTGGAAGTCTACACCTTCCTACGTGGCTTAGACCAACTGTTGTGGATTTCATTGACTGGTGCCAAGTTTTTGTTTGACCGCCGCTAGCTTTTTTCCAGCATGACCCTATATCCGCTAACATTGCTCGTCGAGGGAGGCGATGGCTTGGCATACGTAACACATGTCCTAAGCATCTCAGTCTTTGTAGCTTCACGATTTCGTCGATTGGTTTCCCCTGTTTACCTAGAACTCTACGCCTAACCTCCATGTTGCTCACCTTATTATGCCACTTTACACGGGAAATAGAACGCAGGCACCTATGATCAAAGACAGCTAGCTAATCTTTTCATGTCTTCCACTCTCAGTGGCCAGTTCTCACAACCATAAAGGAGGACGGAGCGGACTGATGAGCAGTACACCCGCCCTTTGGTCGATAGTCGAACATCTCGTCTACGCCAGAGTCGGCGTAAACTGGCAAAAGCGAAACGAGCCCCCTGTATTCGTGCTGAGATTTCGTGAGAGATCAGCCCGTTGGGGCTGCATTTCGTCAGCGTCTTCGCCTAGAAGGACTATATCGTCTGCATATTCCAAGTCAACGAGATTATTCCCGGTAGCAAGTCAATCCCTGAGTCGCTGAAGTCACTTAGGGTTAAGTCCATTAACACATCTATGATGAAGTTGAATAGAAAAGGAGATAATGGGCATCCTTGACGGACACCACTGGTCGTCATCAGTTCAGATGACAGCTCGCCGTAAGCCCTCACCTGGCTGTATGAGTACGAGTAGAGTGCCTTAATCAGTGCAATATATTTTCTCGGAATTCCCTTTACAGCCAAGCATCTCCAGAGAACTTCTCGATCGACAGAGTCGAATGCTGCCTTTAGGTCAAGAAATATAATGACTGTTGGACGCCGGTAGGAATGCCTATGTTCTAGAATCTGTCGGAGGGTGAAGATATGATCAATACACCCTCTTCCTGGTCTAAAGCCTGCCTGGCTCTCTCGTGTTTGTGCCTCCCGAGCACCACTCAGTCTACGCATGATTATTGAGCCTAAGACTTTAGATACTATATTAGTCAAGCTAATCCCTCTGTGATTATCACAGGAAGACTTGTCTCCCTTCTTGTATATGGGGATAATCAGTGACTTACACCAACCCGATGGGACTTCTTCTGATTCCCAGACGCTGCCTAGTACCTCAGTTAATGCAGACAGTAAGCTGTCTCCACCGTACTTAAATACCTCTGGAGTCATTCCATCAGGTCCCGCTGCTTTGCCTAGTTTCAGATTGGTGACAGCTTTAGTAACCTCAGTTAGTGACGGAGGACCTGTGTCTATATCCCATTCAGGGAGGTGTTGGATGCTCGGAAGGTTGAGCGTGGCTGTGGGCAAATTAAACTGCTCCTCATAATGCTCTTTCCAACGATCCAGTCGTCTATCCTGGGAGCTAATTATAGTGCCATTTTTTTCCGAGATTGTCTCACTGATGATTTGTCTTCTCCCACCCGTTTCCCTGATGAGTCTAAAGAGTTGCCTGGTGTTGCCTATCCTCGAAGCTTTCTCCATCTCTTTGGCTTTTGTCGCCCACCACTGTTCACGGTCCTTGCGGAGACTTTTCGTAAGTTTCCTCTTGTGCAGCTTTCGCTCCTCATTGAATTCGGAGCTCGCCGGAATAAGTCTTCTAGCATCTATCAGTTCGGATGAGGCGGTGGAGATCCAGTGGTTTTTACTCACCTTTGGGTTTACCTTATTCACAGCTTTTACAGCTGTATCTATGGCTGCCTGGATATTTTTCCAAGCTTCTTCAGGGTGAGCACAGCTGTCGAACACAGATATGTGTTTAGCTAGTTCTTCCTGAAATACGGATTTAGTTTCCTGATCGAGCTGGGGACGTGATGGTTTTACCGCCAGCTGTTTCCTACGTCCGTTCAGTCGTAAGCACACCCGAGCGCGGACCAGTGCATGGTCGGTATCTACGCACGTGTTCCAGAAGGAGCGACAATCTCCTACCGACCCACGCCAACGATAGCTTATTGCTATGTGGTCTATTTGTGTCCAGCGTTGGTTTGATGAAGGGGGTCTCCAAGTCAAACAGTGTCTCTCCTTGTGTTTGAAGTTAGTGCTTACAAGAAACAAATGATTATCAGAGCAGAACTGTAGGAGACGGTCACCGTTGTCGGTTCGCTGGCACGGAACTCCATAGGTGCCACCGACATCCTTCTCAGATTGACACAATTTCCCTACTTGAGCGTTAAAGTCACCAGCTAGAACGACTATGTCTGAGCGTTTAGCCTTTCGCACCAAACTAGACAGCTTTTGGTAGAACTCATCCTTCGTTTCATCTGAACTGCAGTCAGTGGGGGCGTAGGCGGAGATTACGAAAAGGCATCGGCGAGTAGTGCAGTCCTTCCTCCTTCTTACTGATCCGTTCAGACGGACAGCACACATTCGGCTATCTACCGGGATCCAGTCAAGCAATGTCTTTTCTGCCCTAGTACTCAAAGCTATCCCTACGCCAGCTAATCCTCGTGAACTAGCTGTGGCATCTCCTGACACCCTCAAGGTGAATTTTGCAGATTCAACCTGTTGGCCAGGTGGGGTTAGGTGAATAACCACACTTGGGTCTTGTATGCGTGTTTCTGAAACACAGCATACATCAATGGCTCGTGATGCCAGGGTCTTGGCTAGTGATGCTTGTTGTCCTATTTGGCAAAGTGTCCTAACATTAAGAGCTCCTATATGAAATTGGTGGCGCGGCTTTAAGAGGCTGTCGGTGGTGGTTTTTTGGCTTCCATCGTTTTTAGTGGACGCAGAGTGGAGAGGAAGTGGAGAGCTATCAAGTCGAGGAGTTGCATCAGTGGAAGGAAGGCAAGATGATAGAGATGAAGATGAAGACAAAGATGAGTGAGTAATAGAGAGGTTTCGTGTGCATTTCGGATTGTGAGGGCGATTGTTACTTCCCGGCTGCCCACACCGTGGAAGTTGGTTGCGTGACCGCAGAGCCCAGGGGACAACTGCTTGAGGCCGGTCACACGCGGCCTGTTTTTGTTTGTTCTCTTTTGTTTGGTGTGCCTCAGTAGCATATTTATCACTCCTGCCCTGTGACACGGCAGCAGGAAGCGCGGTCGTTGTTAATCCGGGCCACGGCCGATCCGGCATGAAATTTTGTGATTTTGTATTGGACATGATGTTGGATTGGGTAGCTGCTTTTTGTTTAACCGCTATCCAAACAACCTGCCTGGCATGGTAGTACCTCAAGAGACATAAGTCTCAGCCAGTATAGCTTGTTAGGTCATTGCGGTGTTCAAGCCCGACCACCACGTCAAGGTAGCAGCTTTCGGTCGAGTAAATGTATCTGCGCCACTGTTGATATCATTTTGTTTATTATTAGTATTATCAACTGCCAGCATCAAGTTTCCCAGTGGTATTTCTCTTGGATTTGTTTAATGTTTCATTACAGATTAGGAGATGTATGGTGTTTGTAAGACTGATGCTGTGTGCATAATATATCTGGATTCATTTCGTATAACCGCATCTTTTATTTTATTATCAGCTGTAAATTCTACGTTGGTAATTGATTAGACATTGCTGTTAATTGCAATTTTTGTTGTTTTACAACGCATTCATCTCGTTAGTAGACCTCAGTGTGATAATCTTTGTCAAATCAGTACACATATTTCCTTTCTTGCAATCATTAACAACCGGATTTTGGTTACCACACTTTCTCACTAGATTATTGTCGTCATTATTATTCATACTGTGTGAAGGATTATCTGCATGTTCATTTAATTTAGGACTTGTTGATGATGAAGATGCTATGACTAGTTTTTTCCGTTTGTTGGTCTTTGTGTGATGTAAGCGAGAGTGATGTTGCCGGTGTTGATGGGTGGACTTGTATCTATTTTCTGTTATTTTTGTTTGTAGTGATTGTGTTGCTGTAAAGTTACATTTTCTGGATCATTTAGAAAATAAGTTTTTTTTGAAAAAGTAATACTTGTGAAGAGGATGGTGTTAAAGATGAAGACGAAGCGAAAGGTGATTCTGTCTAAGCTTCTAGTTGTAATTGTTTCGCATCACAGAAATAGTATATATTAGTTGCATAGGGTTTACTACATGAATGACATCGGCGGAAATCATAATAATAATAATAATAATAATAATGGGATTTTATTGCATTTTAATGAAGTGTAGTGACATGCGTTATGACATAATTTGTTACTTTTAGGATATCTCCAGTGCATAACTAACAATTAATACGACAGTGGGTGAAGTAATTATACACACTGATATTAAGCTGAATATTAAATTGTACGTATTTAGCGTAATCTTGATTCTTCTCATCTCTGTATAAACATTATTCCTGTGTTTGTTGATCTTCTGAATGACTAAGGTGAATTGTTTGGTTGTATGTTGTAGGAGTAGTTTCTTGTATGTCTACAAGTAAATTTGTATCTGTCTTATCATGTGAATTCATTATTCAAGTTGCCTTAAACACATGGAAAGTAGTTGTTTCAGTTAAATTACCATGCGTTGGTGGCACAATGGTTGGGACTCTCGCTGACCATGCACATGGTCTGGGGTTCGATCACCTGCCGACGCACCTGATATCAATGGTTGGCCTACAATATTTAGGCTACCGATATCACATTCTGAAAATTCCATACTTGGACCGATAATACGTTGTGGAATCAAGCTGAAATCAAAAATAAAATAAAAAAAATGCTCATCTATCAGATTATTATGGTGTTAGCCGGAGACTGGAATCCTGTTGTCAGGCATCTAGGCTCAAATCGATTTAGACTGAAGTCTAGCTACTAACTCTGGAAATGTAATGTAATGTGATCAATAATGTAAGTATTTTGATATGATAATACATTAGTCACCTATATAGTATTTGGTGGTTATTAATAGGATTTTCGAAGTATATATTTTGCTGTTTCTGGTTTATATATATATATATATATATATATATATATATATATATATATATATATATACCGTCCTTTCTCAAAGATCGAAAGCGTCGGAAATACTTGGTCGATAAGAAACAGCAGTCACGGAACCTACATCCAGAGATCAATGTCATGTTTACAATAGTGACCTTATGCTAACACACAGTCTGACTTGTGTTTGAGTAAACTTACCTTAGTTGAGGGGTTCTAATTTTGTTTTTGTGTCCTGTTTTTTTAGTGTCGTAATCCTCCAAATGAAGAGTGAAAATAATAGCAATACGCACACGCAACATGTGTTATTGCGCCATCGATCCATGCAAGCCAAGTTCTATTTTGGGAAAATTCAAGACATTTTTACCAATTATTATTTGTACCAATCTCACAAAATTAGTATTCACACAAGATTGTATTCATGTAATATACATAGGATAACCACTAATTCAGAGTATTTTGTTCCTTATCTGTTTTCGATTTCGTGCAATCGATCGTCATATGTTATGTATGCGAATATGGTGCTCATTGAGTTTTTAAAGCAATTAGTTCCCTTTATGAATTTAGACAACACAATAAAGTGTAATTTATCTGAAACGTGTAATGCTATTTACTCAACATATATATATATATATATATATATATATATATATATATATATATATATATATAATATGAAATTAATAAAGAGTTAAGAGGTGAGAAAATTAGGCTTAGGTCAAGTTAAAAGGACACACTGAAGGTCAAAATAACAATGGAGATCACTTAATTAAATAAGAGAAGTGATAGTACATCTACTATGGTATCAAACCAAACCTTACCAAGGAAAGTTTAGTGTGAAGACAAATTGTTTTTGAACGTTTAAATGTGGTTTAAACTATCTAATTGCTTCTCCCCGAAGACGTTTTATAGATAGATTTAAAGGATGTGTGAACATCAATTTTATGTCCTATCTCTATATTATATTTCTGAAAATAGGAGCTAGGTCTCCTGTTCTTACCGCTAATAAGTTCTGGGGATTCTGTTTGCTTCCAGAGCCATTTACGAATACGCACGATTTTGGTTAGCTCGAGGCGCAATCAATTATTAAAATAAGAATGATCTCAAAAAATCTGCCACCAGCACCACAGGAGTCAAAGTAGAACGAAGTAAGGTAACTAAAATTTAGGTGTAAAGTTATTTAATCATTTGAGATGATGTGAATGTGAATCCTAATTTATTATGCTCTGTGCTATGTGATGCAAGCAAACTAAAGTTTAAGAGTATTTTGATATTATTTGTGCACTGACGTATGCCTGTGCTAGTTTTCTGAACTTTGAATGAAGCTTATTTTATTCACGTAAACAATACTTGAAAATTAATCTGTGCTCACTAGTGACTGGCCCTATTCAGGCAGTTAACCTGGGGTTCTAGTGGGAAGCCGTGACCAGTAGGGTACAGCAGGTTGAAGATGAGGCAGTAACTCATCGAAGAAGACATTGCGAAGTGGTCGCGCTATGTCATGAATTGGCAGAAGTTAGAATTCAAGGACCATTGGATCGGGTCCCAGTGGCTCAATGGTCTACGAGCTCGCCTTGTAACCAGAAGGTCCTGGGTTCGAATCCCTGTGGGTGCATACTGATGAAGAGTCTCAACCTAGGACGAAACAGCTGTCCAGTACTCCTAGGTTTTCCAGTGGTTCTCTGACTGATGTCAGCTCATGATTAAATCCTCCATGCAATCAAACAAAATCCCCACAAAACCAATACTTGAAAATTAAAGAATGATTTCCATATTCCCGTGAATCATTCTATTAATTTCTTTCCTACTAATCGTTTAGTCACAACTCATGTTTTCACTTTATGTTTCCTTAGCGTATATGACAGTTAAGGGATTAAGGACTTTCGATTTTCCGGCATCTTGTTATACATTGATAGTTATATCTCAATACTAGAGTATGTGATCATAAAGAAACAATACAGTAGATATTTGATTTAATTGGGAAGAACAGCTTGTTGGAATAGTGGCATCCAAAGTTACCGATCAGTCTAGGCGATAAATGCCTAATGTTTCGGTCCTGGAAAAATAAAAAAACGTTTGGTCTATTTACACCAATAGTTATCCCATTTTTTTCCACTGGTTCTCTCCTGACAAAATGTAATCACTTTGTCCTGTGACAACAACTCTTACAGTTATATATGTAGACATAAGAAATTGATTATATTGATATTTCTTTTGTCTAAATGTTTCTTGGAATATGTATTTATTCGAAATAAATGATTCCCAAATAAAATAGGATTCTCATGTTTGTATTCACTTATATCTTTCAACAGAAAAAACTGCTCTTTCTGCAATTATATATTGGGATTATGTTTGATCAGCTCTTACAACTATCCAAACAATCCTACATCATCTGACAGGCGATTTTATAACAAAATTTTGAAAAAAAGTAGGTACAGAAACAGAATGGTAGAAAAGTTTCATTGACTTAAATGAGAATTTAAACTTGGGGAAAGACATTTCAAACTTAATAATCTTTCTTTGTCTATCTATAATCACTGAGACTTACGGAACTTAAACTTTTAATTACTTCGTATCTAGGATGCCGAATGTTTGTGACTGTGAGGTAGATTTCTTCCTCACTTGTCGCGAAATGTTGTTTGAAATTCGCTCTAGAAGTTAATCAGAGTTCGGATCCTATCAAGATTACCTTGTTCTAGTAGGCGAGTAAGAGCAGTCGAGGCTTTTGGTTTGTATCTATTCATATTAACCTCTAACTTATCTCAGATAATTTCCCAATCCATCGTAATTACTTCAATGTCTGTGCTTGCCGGCCAATAGGGTTTCAAAATTATTCAAATGCTTGAAAACTTTATGCTTTAATTAAAAGTGAAGGCAAGATATCGTTCGATTTTCGATGAATGGTTACTGAAATTGCCTATAATCTATTGCGAAATTTGTTCAAATCCTATGATAGATCAATGTGTCATCCAAAATTTCTGTCTAACTTCTTGCGGTGTTTTGCTCTGAACATTAGTCTGCGGAGAGTTAATTTTCCCTCTAACGTCACAATTTTTTAAATGCATGTGTATATAACATCCATGAAATGGACTCCGTTCTCAGTAAAGTTTTTTTTATCATTAAAATCTTTTCCTAATATCTGTCTTCTGATTAGTTACACTTAAGTTACTGACGTTACGCAAAACGGATTGCATCATTTATTTGTGTATATTCTCATAAGTTATTTTCCTGATTGTGATTTCATAAAAAATTATGATACAGTTATAACTCGTTAAAAATATAATTGATTGTCGGGCAGATGCTTCGTCTGTAGCGATCGAAATGGAAATTAATGTATTCATTAAGTCATAAAATAAATAATATTCGTCATTTCATAAAAGCTTTCTGAAAGTAATATAAAGTAGGCGGAATTTATCATTTTATTGGCAAATACGTATGAAACAAATGGATACTTGTGGTATTCCATTAGATGAAAGCAAAATGCACCGACAGTACAAAACGTTCCGTAGCTTAACTACCTGGTCGAGTGCAGTTTTGTACAGGAATATAGGACTAAAAAATATCTCTTCAAAATGACTGCAGATTACGTCAATCATGTGTTATTGAATGTAAGCAAATACAACTGAATTCGGTAGAAGAAAATGCTGAATGACGAATATAGACTAAATTCCATCATCTTATGACATGCGGAACATATATAAAGTAAGTTGGTAGAATAAAAGACGTCGTTTCCGTATGTAGCTATTGTACCTTGTGATTGCATCATGAAACATGGTTTGATTGAAACACTGTTGTTTCAACATGATGCAGATATAATCACTAACTTGATCAACATAATTCCAGAATGTAGACATCAGGTGAATGTAATGCTCATTGCCTTTGAGCTAATTCATGAAAAGTGTATTCATATATATTGTCAATCAAACAGCGGTAAAAGAAGACAAAACCAACAGCATCTACACGATTGATTGTAGCAATTGTGAAAAACATTAAATCGGTTAAAGTGAACCTATTTCGTCTTTGCACTTATGAAAATAAACTACCATAAAAAAGAAGTGATAAGTATTCCTTCAATCAGTACATATAGACACCAGTACGACCGGAAAATGTACAAATCTTAGATGAGAGAAACACTATAAATGTCAGTGAATTCCAATATGTTTGATATTAACGTGAATCTACAAACAACACATTTATTGAAACAGATCCGATTTATCATTCAATGAAGAGGAAGTCCTATAAAATAGCAGTCAAATATCAGGTCAGAAAAATAATCGATACTCATACAGGCGAACAGGAAAATTTCCAAGGATAGTCATGTTCAAGTTTATGAGGAGAGCGAGTAAGTAATTACACCTATGGCGGATTCTAAAAACTCAGTTTATCCTTATGCTGGCGATAGGGTTGCTTGTAGAGAAAATGAAAATCGAATTAACTCACGTCAAACCACTTTCAGTGATATCCCTTTCAAAGTTAGAATAAAACAATAAGAACGATTTTTGCATAGGGTCCCCACCAGCTGCACACATCGTGAATAATGATACAAGTGAGTAATTAATATGATATATGTCAGACATGCTTTAACTGGATGAACAATCAATTTATGAGTACAATCAAATGCAAGAAGATAGAATGATCAATAATGACCGAAACAGAGATATCAGATTTGGTAAAGAAAGGGAGGTTCCGACATAAATGGAGGCGATTACATAACGTTTCTCTCGCTCTGACATTCCCATCCCTTCTGCCCGTCTGTAGTCGAAACCATTCACGGAAACAGTCAGAAACGATGTTGACGAAGTAAGTTAAAATCAAGCATATCCTGCTTTTGTTCACTTAAATTCAACAAGTGCGTGGGGTCATCCACGAGGTTCACTGCTGGCTTATATTTCGATACCCCATCTAGAAAATATCCCCTTGAAGTCTGCATCCTATTCAAGGTGTGTAGATGATGCATTTGTTGTATGTGATGACACTCATCAATCTAAAACATTGTACGAAGTTCCTTCCAGAATTGTTCGTAAATTGCCTATTTCGCCACGACACGGTACATAAGAAATTATACTATAGAGCAAATGAATGCATTTGTAGTATTGAAGTTTTTGGTTTAAACAGTAATTTTTTCACGGAAAGGGTGATCGACTCAATGTCTATTTTAATGAAATAACTTAATTTAATTCATTGAAGATGGTCATTAATATTAGTATCTTTAATTCTATCTGTGGGAAACACAATTTCCACAAGTTACAAGGCAAGGTCGTATACCATTGAGTC